ACTTTGGAATTGGTATTGATTCTAGGGATGTAAATAAATAATTTTTACACTGTTTGAAAAATTACAAATTCCTACTGTAAATTATTTTGTAAGGAGAAAATATGAAATTGTTTAAGAAAAGTACTAAACCTTAGCAAACACATTTTATTAAAAGAAAATGTGACATTTTATAATTCAAGTTAATATGAATTTATTAATACTTTTTATGTATTAATCTGTGAAATGTAGATAATGTTTTCTTTCCCAGATCCCTGTGTACTTTTCACAAAGTAACAGAATTACATTTTAAAAGAAATTCTGAAATTTTGATTCTTTTTCCCTTAATGCTAATTAAACTGACTTTTTCTCCTGATTTACCTAAATTGGGGAGTAAAATTATCCTTTTAAAAAATTTACATACGAAAAAAATTACATATGAAAATGAACTACTCTTGCCATGATAATCTTCCAACCAATTTAGGTGACCTTATCTATAGCCAAGTCAGTTTTTCCTTCATAACTTTTCTGTAGTAGAACCAGTTTCCTGGTCACTTATTCAAGTCACTTTTTGAAGTATATAATTTTTATTGGAGTGGCTTTATCATGAAAGTCATGGAGGTTAATGTATAACTTAAAATATTTTTGTCTGTCAAAACCATAAACTTCCATGTTCTGTCACATAATACAGTCTCATTTTTTTCTTATTAAAAATATCTAGTAAAAATAATTCAAATCAGATGGTTATCAGATAGCCATCAGGTTTTATTATCTAAATGAACAATTTTAGCTCCTAGAACTAAGAAAGTACAGATTAGTGCCACTTCTCAAGTGTCCCCTCTCCTTTTCCACCCTTGTATAATGTGATTTCTGTTTCTGATGTGAAGAGGTACAGCTGTCTCAAAATTTATTATGCTAAGGGTGACTTACACCCCTCCAGAGTTACAAAATTAAAATGTAACAAAATTAAAAATGTGTTATACCTATTTTCTAAAAATCAGATAATTTTTTGTATAAAAATTTTCTATAATTTCTCCTCCATGGTTCTGGCAGGTTGTGTTTTTTAAATCATGGTGATATTTCATATATTTGCACCTGAATCAGCTATCTTTATTGGTATAGACATTTCCAGGATTCTACCTTACTCTCACCAGGGTTGCCAATTTCTTTTTCACTGTGTTGAGAAAATCTAGACTAGTAATAGCTAGAAATACAACTGAATTTTAGATGGCACCCCCTCCTCATTAAAAACAAGTAATTGGAGAACTGTTAGTGTATTTTTTTTTATTAATATTAAGGTGCTTTTTAAGGTCAAATTTCCATTCTTATAAATGATCCAGAAAGGTATTTAATGTTAAGACCCAAGATTAACACAAATAGAGTATTGTTTTTTGATACATAATAATGTCATTATCACATATGAAGTAAGCAAAATACTGTGACAGAAGGTGTGCATTTAAACCATTATTGAATAACAGTGACTCACTATTACTGCTAATAAAATGTGGTGGTGGTTGGGATCAGGGAGGAGGGAGCCAGCAATGGCTGAGGACCTTGTATAAATAACAAACTGTGTCTGAAAAGTAGATGCACTTAGTTATCTGATAGTTGGAAATTTGAAGGAAAAAAAAAATGGAAGCCATGAGGTGAACTTTAATTTTCATGGGAGATTTTTGAAAATCATTATTTTAGCAAGAGTTTAGTTATCTACAAAACTGGACCAGTAGGCCTGTGATTGACATTACGGATGAAACAGGTTCCCCTCTCACCCGTAGCATGAAGAGCCCTGCCCTGGAGATTCAGATGGATGGGGCCTATCTCTTTGGCCCTTTAAAACCTGTAATGATGGATTTGTGTCCACATAGTTGACGAGAATGCTAACAGTTTCACTCAGCTGTTTGCTTCATACTATATATACAGTCTTCCTTCATTTCTTCCTCACTCAGCCTTCTCTGTAATCCCTTTCCTAATAACCTCATCACAACAAATGATGAAGCCTCTATGTTGTTTGTTATAGTTGAATCAGAGCAAGTGATTGATGAGGTGCCCAGTTCCAAGGACAGAGAGACATCCTCATACCCCAAGGCTTTTTCTGCCTCTGCCTTCACTTGGTGTTCAAGTGTGTTTTTACATGAATTTATGGTATCTCCATGTAAGCTTTAAATTCCTGAAGGACAAGGACGCATGTTGTTCTTTGCTCTATCTCCCACGTTCTTACTGCTCTTGCTCAATATACTTCTGATTGAGCTAATGAATGTTAGCTCATTTACATCAAGTTTAAGGATCTTCGAGATTAATATGGTGTTACAGTTACAGAGTATTGTCCCTCCTAGTGAATTCTCAGTTACCACTTTCCAAAAAACCCCCACATCCTCTAGCACTTTCTCTCGCCTTCTATTCTTCAACCTAAAGGGAGCTTCCCCTTTTACAGATCCTTTGCAAAACCATTTTTCATGCCTGAAACCAGGGAAAGGCTTCTGAACCACACGTTAAAAACAAAAACAAAAACAAAAAAAAAACACCAAAGTGTTTGTGTGACTAATTGTGGATTGTAAGCAGTTTGAAGGTAGAGACTTTAATTCATGCTCTTGACGGTGTCTGTCATCTAGTCCAGCATCTTTTATAACGGGGACTTGCTTCTTTAAAAACCACAATTTTCGGGGGATCCCTGGGTGGTGCAGCAGTTTGGCGCCTGCCTTCGGCCCAGGGCGTGATCCTGGAGACCCGGGATCAAGTCCCACATCAGGCGCCCTGCATGGAGCCTGCTTCTCCCTCTGTCTATGTCTCTGCCTCTATCTCTCTCTCTCTGTGTGTCTCTCATGAATAAATAAATAAAATCTTTAAAAAATAAAAAAAATAAAACCACAATTTTCTTTTTAATTTCTCATGACAAATGTGTTAATTAATTTGTTTGAAAGTCTTTTGTCATTTTATGTAGAGTGGTGACCTTTGTCCAGATGACTGTTCATCTGACAAAACAGCCCATGTGCCTTTTCCTGGGACACAATAATGATGCATGTGTCTGTTACTTCCATTTTCACCTCACCCTACCATTTGTCACTTTCCACCTTCAGACAGGAGGCAAGGCTATTTGTCTGCATCAGCTTAATATGTAAATCCCCCATGCAGGTGAATGGAATGGAGTAGGATGTCTCTTGTATCACATCTGATACCTCCAAATTTATTCTGCTATATGATGGTGAATTCTAGTTTGGCTCTGGCCTTGCATCCTATTTTAATTATTTGTGTAAGAAAAGTGGAACAGTATTTTTTCATTATTTTGTGCTGACCTTCCTTCTGCATGTACCCATGTATCAGCATACAGATAACAGCTTTTAGGTTTAAAAAAAAAAAGATTCTGAAAACTTGAGTTAAGGTAATCTGGGGATAATTCTAAAATATGGATTATTAACACTTATTTATAATAGAGTTTTCATTTACATGATTTAAAGTAAAAAATGGAAACGTTTATTTGGATTATATACACTTTCTTATACCAAGGATGAAAGAGTCTTTTTTTTTTCCCCCCCGTTGGATTAAATAAAAAGCTACTTGGAGTGTATACTAAATTAGTTTACTTTACACATGGAATGACCATTTTAAAGGGCAAGCGTATGGGATTGAAACAGTTGTATTGATTTAATAAAGTTTCCAGCAGCTGGGAAAAACATTTTTATTAGATGATATAACTTTTGGCAATGTATAATGAATAGCAATAAATATTATTTCATTTAGTTTTATTGTCACAAAAGGGGAAAGAAGCAACAGAGATGGCAGAAAGAGTTCTAGAAGTCACAGAAATAGAGGGAAAAGGAGGATATTGTCAGTGAAGGCTGAAACCTCCAAGTATAAAGACATAAAGATTGTGATGGGTTAATTGCAACATCACACATCACACCTTTCAGCATGTTCACATTTGAAGTCCTAGGTGCTTATTATAAAATCCTGGGATGTTGGTGCTTCACAGATACTTAGCTTTTTACAAATTGAAGGTTTGTGGCAACACTATGTCAAGCAAGTCTATCGGCACCTTTTTCCAACAGCATCTTTGCTTTCTGTCTCTGTCACCTTTTGGTAATTCTTGCAATATTCATAGCTTTTTCATTATTATATTTGTTATGGTGACCTGTGGTCAGTGATTATAGCTTGCTGCAAGCTCAAATGATGTTTAGCAATTTTTAGCAATAAAGAATTTTTAATTAAGATATTTCATTGTTTTTGCCACTAATAGACTAGTAGTGTAATAAAAATATAACATCTATATATACTGGGAAACCAAAAAATCCTCAGATAACTGAAAAGTTAAACATCAGCTTTTCCTACCTTATTCCCCTTCTCACCAATCTTGATCTTAGCTTGTTTATCCCAAAACTGGTTACTTTGCTCTGTTAAGTTTGCCTGTATTTCCCTTACCAGTACATCAAAGCATGGATTTAATTTTTTGGCATACTTGCAAAATTAAACAGTGAACAGAATCTGGCTCTGAATTGACTCATAGTTTGTAATGTGTACCTGATACCCACTTTGAACTGGGTGCCAAACGATGCACATGGTTTATTTACAATAACCCTGTGTAATGGTGTTATTCTTCCTAGTTTATGGAAGCTAAAGGTTAAGCCCAGAGAGGTTACATTCTCCATCTTTGGTTACTCTAGCTGTAAGTGGAGGTGATAGGGTTTGAACTCTGATGTTTCTGCCTTCAAAGCCTTGCTCCTTCCCTTACAAATAACTCTGGCTCTACCATAGTAAGATATCTTTTGGATACTTAAAAAATGGTGTGGGTCAAAAGATACAAATATATTGTATCTGTATCCATCTTCCACAAATGAACTTTCTAGTTAAATCCATGTCCTATTGCTAAAGCCCTGGGCTGAGATTATCATTCTTCTATAAAGAAAGCCACAGAAGTTACTGAATGTATTGTTTCATTCGTTATTTAATGGTATGGGGGAGGTGACATATGAAGGCTATTAGAACTTTTTTAGTCTGTATATTAAAATCTATTATCTATTCTTTATTTACAGTATAAAGATGCATTTATGAAAGCAAATCCTGGCTACAAATGGTGTCCTACCACAAATAAGCCTGTGAAATCCCCAACACCCGCTGTCAATCCACGAAAGAAACTATGGGCTTTCCCATCTGACTCTTCAAGAGATTTACCAAGCCCCAAGAAAGCAAAGACTGAAGAAATGCCTCAGCTAAACTTTGGAATGGCTGGTGAGTTCAGACAGTGTTTCTAACTATTCTTTCTGAAAGAGAAGGCAATACATCTAGATAGTATTTTTAATGAATTATATATACACAGAGAGCGAGAAACAAAATTTAAACAAAAAAAAATTTAAACCAGTGTGAAGCAATGCAAAGATATAGCATATCTGAAAGCTCTGAAATACAACATACATAGAATGTGTTTGTATGGGACGCCTGGGTGGCTCAGCAGTTGGGCGTCTGCCTTCAGCCCAGGGCGTGATCCTGGAGACCCGGGATCGAGTTCCACATCAGGCTTCCTGCATGGATGGAGCCTGCGTCTCCTTCTACTTCTGCCTGTATCTCTGCCTCTCTTTGTGTCTCTCTCATGAATAAATAAATAAAATCTTTTTAAAAAATAAAATAAAAAATAAACTTCTATCCTTAAAAAAAAAAAAAAAAGAATGTGTTTGTATATTTAAAGGAAGTGTAAGTGTGGACCAAGTAGTAGAGTCATTACGTATATGTGGATTTCTGACACATTATGGAAAGGCAGACTGCAATGTAGAAATTAAGAACTCAGGGAATTTTATAATGTAACAAAGTAGTTTACACATACATACTATTAGGCTATCCCAGTAAGTAACTTAGTTATTGTGGGTACTAAAAAGCTATAATTATATTGATCATCTGAGAATTTGAGACATCTAAGGCAAGAATATGAACAGTTCCATCACACATCTGAGATGGATCTGACAGCTGTTTCTTAGAAGGAATTCCCATCCTATCCCCCTACCCCCATTGCTGTATGAGCTAGGCAAATTAAAACTTCCAGATGGTCCCATTTGTTTTGGGACCTTTAATACTCTTTGGGTGGTAAGGAATGCTAAAGCATTTATTACCGTGAAATAAAGTACTTATATTCATTCTGCAAAGAGCTCTGTCGTCCTGGCTATTGCAGTGCAGTAATCAAGAGAGAAATTTTTCAGGATGAAACTGGGAAATTGAGCAGGGTGGAAACCATGGAGTTGATATTGAGCTAAATGGTTCCTGTTTCATTATATATTATAAATAAATTTTCTTCAAAATGAGAGCAGTGAACCATTTGCAGTATGAAGACCCTGGGAAAAGAGGTTAAGCAATATTGTGGTAACACTTCTTTTGTTTTTTAATCCAGTTTTATTGAGAAATAATTGACCTACATTGCTGTATAAGTTTAAGACATACAGACTGATGGTTTGATTTACATAAATTGTGAAATGATTACAGTAGATTGAGCTAACATCTGTCTCCTCATATAGATACAATAAAAAGAAAAAAACAGGGAAAAATGTTCTCCTTGTGATGAGAATTCTTAGAATTAACTCTCTTAACAACTTTCCTGTTTGTTATACAGCTATGTCAGCTATAGGCATGATGTACATTACATCCCTAGTATTTATTTATCCTGTAGTAGGAATTTGTGACCAGCTTTCCTCCAATTCTTCCTCCTCCTATCTCTCTGCCTCTGATAATTACAAGTCTGATTTCTTTTTCTGTTATTTCTTTCTCCCTTTTTTTTTCTTTTTTTAAGACTCCACATATAAGTAAGATCATATAGCATTTGTCTTTCTCTGATTTATTTCACTTAGCATAATGCCTTCAGGGTACATCCATTTTGTCACAAATGGTAGGATTTCCTCATTTTTTATGGTTGAAGAACATCTCATTTTGTGTATGTGTATATGTATCTACATACACTGTCACTACACACACACACACACACACACACATATACACACACACAATATCACATCTTTATCCGTTCATCCATCAATGTTCACAGGTTGTTTCCACTCACACATGGAACATTTTCTAGGACAGACCGTATGTCTAGAACACAAAACAAGTCTCAGCAAATTCAAGAAGATTAAAATTAATTACCAATTATCTTCTGACCACAATGGCATGAAACTAGAAATCAAAAATAAGAGGAAAATTGAAAAATTCAAAACCACGTAAAAATTAAACAGCACTCATAGAACAACCAATGGATCAAAAAAGAAAGGAAATAAAATGTTTCTTGAGACAAGAAAATGGAAACCTGATATACCAGAATTTTTGGATGCAGCAAGAGCAGTTCTAAGAGGGAAGTTCATAGCAACAAATGCCTATATTAAGAAGCAAGAAAGATCACAGACACACCCTAACTCTATGCCTTAAGGAATTCGAAAAGAACAGAGTTCAGTTAGCAGAAGAAGGGAAATAAAGATTCAATCAGAAATAAATGAAATAGAGAACAAAAAAACAAGAGAATAGGCTAACCAAACTAAGAGTTGGTTCTTTGAAGAGATAATAAACAAAATTTACAGACCTTTAGCTAGACTAATGCCTGAAAAAAGATAAAGGACCCAAATCAACAAAATTCTACATGAAAAAGGAGACATTACAACTGATACCAGAGAAATACAAAGGATCCGAAGAGGCTGCTCTGAACGGCTATATACCAACAAACTGGACAACCTAGGAAAAAATGGAGAAATTCTTAGAAACGTGCAATGTACCAACACCAAATCAGTAAGAAATAGAAAATCTTACTAGACCAATTATGGGTAAGGAGATTGAATTAGTAATCAAAAATTTTGCAGTGAAGAAAAGCACAAGACAAAATGGCTTAACTGGTGAATTTTACCAAATATTTAAAGAAGAATTAACACTAGTCCTTTTCAAATTCTTCCAAAAATATCAAAGAGGAGGGAACACCCCCAAACTCATTTTATAAGCCCCGCATTATTCTGATATCAAAACCAGAAAGAGACACTACTAGAAAAGTGTAAGCCAGGGTGCCTGGGTGGCTCAGTCGGTTAAGCCTCTAACTTTGGCTCAGGACATGGGTTGAGCCCCATGTCTAGCTCCCTGCTCAGTAGGAAGGTCCCTCTCTCTCTCTCTCTCTCTCTCCCCCTCCCCCACTTTTTCTCATTCTCTCTCTCTCTCTCTCTCTCTCTCTCAAATAAAAAAGGCCATATATAATTAGCCTATAGCTAACATCATACCCAGTTGTGAAAGGTGGAAAGCTTTTCCTCTAAGCTTTTCCACTCACCACTCTTACTCCGCATCATACTATAAATCTTAGCTAGAGCAATAGGCAAAAAAAAAAAAAAAAGAAAGAAAAGTAAAAGAAATAAGAATTGAAAAAGAAGAAGTAAAATTGTTTGTAGATGACAACACTATATTTGGAAAATTCTGCAGACTTAACCAAATAACTATTGGATCTAATCAATGAATTCAGTAAAGTCACAAGATACAATATTAATATAAAAAAAACAGTAGCATTTCTATACACTAACAGATTTTCTGTAAAAGAAAGAAATCAATCTCATTTATAATAGCATCAAAACTAGTAAGACACTTAGTAATAAATTTAACTAAGGAGGTAAAAGATCTTTGAAAAGTACAAGCCACTGATGAAAGTAATTAAAGAAAACATAGATGAATTGAAAGGTATTCTTTGTACATGGGTTGGAGGAATTAATATTGTTAAAACAGTACTACCAAAAGCTGTCTGTAGATTGAATGCAGTCCCTTTCAAGATTCCAATGCCATTTTTTTACAGAAGTAGAAAAAACACTACTAAAATTTATATGGAAACACAGAAGACCCTGACTAGCCAAAGAAATCCTGAGAAAGAAGAAGAAAGCAGGTGACCCCATACTTTCTGATATCAAGCTATACTATAATGCCATATTCATTAAGACAATATGGTACTGGCCTAAAAACAGACCAGTGGAACAGAATCGAGAGCCCATAAATAATCCCAATCATACACAATCAACCAGTATTTGACAAGGGAGCCAAGAATACTAAATGGAAAAAAAGATAATCTTTTCAATAAATGGTACTGGGGTAATTGGATACTCCTATGTAAAGAAATGACACTGGACCCTATCTTCAACCGTGAAAAGTTAACTTGAAGTGGTTTAAAGACTTAAGTGTGAAACCTGAGGCTATGAAAATCTTAGAAGAAAACATCAGACTAAAACTCCTTGACCTAGGTCTTGGTAATGATCCGTTTGGGATATGACACCTAATACATAAGCAACAAAATAGCAAGTGAGCAAGTGGGACTACACTACAGAGCTTCTGTACCGCAAAAGCAAGCATCAACAGAGTGAAAAGACCCCCTACAGAAATGGAAGAAATATTTTCTACCACATATCTGAGAAGAAGTTCATATCCAAAATCTGTCTGGAACCCATACAACTCAGTGGTCAAACAAAAACAAAAACACTTAAGTAAAAAGGGGGCAAAGGATCTGAATAGACATATCTCCAAAGATGTACAAAATGCCAACCAGGTACAGGAAAAGATGCTCAACATTACTAGTCATTAGGGAAATGCAAATTAAAATCACAAAGTGATAGTATCCCACACCTATTAGATTGAACATCATCAGAAAGACCAGCAATACCAAGTGCTGGTGAGGATGTGGAGAAAAGGTAGCCCTTGTGCACTGTTCATTGTAAATTAGTCAGCCACTAAAGAAATACAATATGGAGGATCCTCAAAAAGTTAAAAACAGAACTCAGCAATTCAGTGTGTTGTCATATTAAATGCCAAGAAATGCAGTCTAACATAATGCAGCATTCTGAGGAAAGTCTTCCGATTATTGCTGTGTAGGTGTCTGTAGGATAATTCTAGGTAAGCCCCCAAAATGATGCCCTGCATATCCCAGAAGAATCAAAACACAGAGCTCTGTCCTTGTTTAGATGTCGTTGTACCATTTTAGTTTCACCTTGCTTGTGAGCCGTCTTGGTGAGCTCTCTGGACTTCCCAAATTATATCAGATGAAGTGTTTTATAATAAAATGTTTTATCATCAGGACCCTGAAAGAGTATATGGATGATTGGCTACCAACCAAATTTCTTCGATTATCATTTGTCTTCTATGCCTTTTTCTCCCAGTTCTAAATCAATATCAGTAGGTGTTTTTCATACAGTAGCTCTTCACAAACCGATAATAATTGTAAATAAAGCTATGAAAGCTTTGAAAGCTATGAAAGGTACCTGGTTTTAGCATCATTTTGAACAGTTTATTAATCTATCTTTTGTACCTACAAATCGAAAGTTTAAGACCTAGACATCATCCAAGATACTTACAGGTCAACTTTACAACCACAGTGTTCTTTAAAGTCAAAGAAGGAAAACACTTTAAATTTCTCTCATTATGTGAGGCTCTGTGACAGATGTCAGTAGTCCATGGTCAGGTCTTTATTAAGCTAGTGTATAATGGATAACATTGTTCTGAAATTTCCAGTTGTGTCTCTTGCAGCACAATGAAAGCAAATGGATTTACCTTTAACTAAAATGGGAGGCTTAGCTTTTTGAATCTAGGGGATCCTTATAGGGCCTTTAGAGGACAGTGTAGGTTTTTCCTCAATAATCTCTTTGTTTTTTCCAGTAGTCTTTGTAACATGACATTTTGCTATTTTGAATAATCCCAAAGCAGCTAAAATTGTATGATTTCCAAGAAGAGAAAGCTGTGTAGAATTTAATTTAGTACAGGTCCTCTTGGTAAAGAGAGAGCAAAGCATACTATGTGCATAGTTTTGATGTTTCTAGATAACATTGTGTAAGTATAAATTAATGTAAAGGATGGTGGTAACCTTTTGGTCTATGTTTTACTATCTACAGAGCAAACTTGCAAAGTCACATTGCTATAACAAATAAATTGTCATGTAAGCATGTTCCTATTTTACTTTAAAATTTGAACTAAGGCATTTTTATTTCTAATAGAAAGCTATCATCCAGTCCTTCTGATCTTAAGAATGACAGCTGCAAAAGTATTTAGCTACCCAAAGAACCAAATTAAAATTTACTTTCTGCTAAATTCATTTCCCCCTCATTTTAATTTTAAATAGATTTAAGTGTCTATTTTAACAAACACAGTAGTTCTTAAACTTAACATTTAATTGAAGATGGAATTTTTAAAACAACAATAAATAGCCTTGCTTCATCACAACAGCCAGAGTTCCCATGTATTCCATATGTGGCATCTTCCTATGTGGCTGCTTTGCAAAACTGAGCTATTTCTTGACCACTTGATCATTGGGTAACCTGTTTTTCCCTCTAATAACCTTTTCTTTCTTTCTTCGTAACAACTTCAAATTCTTTTTTCAGTTTATTAAAAAATTTGACTGTATATAAGATGTGGTTAATGTGGATTCATGAGTTAAAACAGATTGTGTACAAAGAAACGCTTAAAGTCCTATCTTTAAACAAAAAGAAAAACACCTCAGTGTCTTCAGGCAACAGTATGCCTGATTCTCACTTTTAATTGAAGAGAGATTCCTAAAAATAAAAATGCATTTATGTAGGACCCACATGCATGAGGATAGGCATTGAGCTAGGCACTGCCTCATATGTTATTTCAAGGCAAATCTGCAATTTAATTTGTTTTAAGACAGCCTTAAAGGATATAGGTTTCTTATTTTCTTTAATACTTGTTTAGTCATAACCCTGAGTCGTTGATCTACCACTTTGCTGTTTTTATTTTGTCTTTTTGTTTTTGTTGATTATTGAAGGAATGGAAACAATGGCCTTCAGTAATATAAAAAGGATTCATTTCAAATCCGAATAGTATTTTGAGGAAGCACCTGACTTCACCCCTAAGATTTAAAATATCAAAAACACATCATTGTCTAATTTAAATTTGTTTTTGAAAGTTTTAGAGAAAGACTATTTGAACAAAGCCCACTGGATTTTGAAAGGCTCATTTATAAGATATCTCTCTGTTCTCTTAGTTTCTCATATAGCCCAATACTTTTTAGCAGCCCTAATTTTACATGGTAGAAATAATAATTTGTGAATAACAATCTCCAACTTCTGAGACATGAAGCATAAGAACTCTTTTATTTTGTTTTAAAACTTTTATTTATTTATTTGAGAGCGAGCACAAGCTGGGTGAAGGGGCAGAGGGAGAAGCTGAGCTTCTTGCCCTACCTGAGCAGGTGGCCTGAAGCAGAGCTCAATTCCAGGACACCTGAGATCAGGATCCGATCCGAAGGCAAATGGTTAACTGACTGAGCCATCCAGACCCCTAGCACTCTTTTAAAAGTTTTATCTTTTATCTTTAAAATGTTTTTTTAAAAAATCCACTGAAACTCTGTATTCAGTAAGGCAAGAAGCATCATCTCATCACAGGAGGAGATAATTCCATTTATAAGTAGATGTGGTATTGAAGAAAGGGTTGTGTTGGAATGGTGGGACAATAGGGAGATTTAAAAGGCTCACAAAAGTATAAGTACTTAAGCATGTATATGCCAGATTATTGCTATATGAAGAGTTTTAAAAGTTTCCTGTAAAAAGTTATACATGTTCCTGTTGGAGTTTGAGTCTTTGTTAGTATCCTTTTTCAACTCTGCATGGATTACATGAACTTCATGCTTATAAATTGATAATTTCTTTGTTTTTGACTCTTTAGATCCTACACAGATGGGAGGCCTGAGCATGCTGCTTCTAGCTGGAGAACATGCTCTTGGAACACCAGAGGTAAGCCAGTCCTCATTCCTGCCCACTCTGCTCACGCCGGGGCTCGAAAACACAGACATGAGTATTCCGTTCACACTCTTAGTTCTGTAGTTTCCCTATGTAAGCTCATGAGCAAACTATCTATTTTTTGGTTAAAGATCTATATGTGCTTTGTTTTGTGCCTTGAGTATAATAGAAGTGGTATAAATAAACCCAAGAGAATGCAAATGAAGAAGTCGCGGGTGCAGATTTTTGAGATTCTGTGAACCTAAGAAAAAGAAATGGAATGTACAGATGATTAGCATTTGCCACGATTGTGTCATAGGTCTGTAGGATGGGTCCTATGATTCATTTTCTCTATTCACATAACGTACCCTGCTTTTGTGATGCTCTCATGTAGGCATGCTAGGGAAAGATGAGAGTTTTACTGTCAGTCTCTCTGCTGCCTGGAGAAATCCAAACTCCTGTTTTTGAAACATGGCATTCCAAAATGGTTTTATTTTTTAAAATGTAAATGAAAAGGACCCAAGCCCTCATGACCTTGGTTTTATGATCTCTCCTTTTCTTGCAGTTACTGGGCAGCTTTTACAAAACACTTTGAGGTATGGTTTTGATGGGCAGGTAGCAACAGTTGACCATGCATAGTTTGCATTTGTGGAATTTCTCTCCTTTCCAGACCCATTTAACAGACGCTAGACAAATTAACCTGCAGGTCATGTTATTTTACCACACTCAGGTACTTGAAATTGAGACTTTTCAGTCCCAAGCAGAGTCACTATTTACAGCCAAATAGCAGCTCAATTCTGTTGCAGATACATATATTTTTTTCATACCTTTTTTTTTAAATTATGACCATGCCATACAGGATACCGTTGATTCCTATCAAATAGTGATTATAGAAGATACCGCGTACGATATTTATATCACAAAGGCTATTATGATATATAGTTTACTTATGTGACCCATAGCAGTTGACCATATATCCAATTTAACATAATTATTTTGATTCCATTCAGTTCAGTGTAGCAAAAGACTGTATAAACTGTTGCACTGGTAGTTATTTACATTGTACTAATCCTTGGCTGAGAAAAATAAACATGTCATTTTGTACCTTTGCGTACTTATTATTCAGCATGTTTTTACTTCCTAACACAATAGAATTCTCAGAAGTCATTTTGCTCTCTGACACATGGCTGCCTAATAGCAGTCAGACCGACTCTCACTTAGGTATAGAATATCGCAAGCATGTTCCAAAAGGTGAATGTTGGAATAATAATGCACACTTGACCTTTAAACACAGTGTGACTCATGATTTCCAAGAATGTACTGTATTGTGAAAGTCAGCATCATCTTTTCAACAGATTGTATTATAATGATGTTTTCTCCCTAACTCCTGTTATCCTTCTTCTAAATTTCAGGAACCACATGTAAATAAATAAATATTTGTAGAACTTAGAGATGAAAATGTTGGTCAAAAAAAGACTGTTGCCCCCACCCCCATCCTTTTGCTTAAAGTTTCTCTCTTGGGCTTGTTTCAGTGAGAAGTTCTCCCTTTTAAGAACAGCAGATTTTTGACACAAGTAATTTAAACAATGGTCAGCTTTTTGTTTCTGAGGAAGGGGAATTGTTTGGAGAATTCTCAAGCTAAAGAAGTTTATAAGGGTAAATTATTTAAAGAAGGGAACCACGTAGGAGAAGGGATCTATGCTAGGGAAGGAGTTGCCAGCATGTAGGTCTTTAAGAACCATTTCTACGAATATAGCTCTTTCTTCTTACTTCCTCATTCTCATCTCAGAGGTATATTTAGGTCATTATTGAAACTAATCTTGAGATACTGAAATAATAAAGCAGCGAATATTATACAAAATTAAACTGTGTCTAAATATGGTTCGTTTTGAGAGTTCATACCATACATATCAGTAGACTTCATTTAGCACCTATTTTCTTTAATTTTTTAAAAAATATTTTACTTCTTCATGAGAGACTCTCACACACAGAGAGAGAGAGAGAGAGAGGCAGAGATATAGGCAGAAGGAGAAGCAGGCTCCTTGTGGGGAGCCCAATGCAGGACTTGATCCCAGGACCCTGGGATCACGACCTGAGCCAAAAGCAGATGCTCAACCACAGCCACCCAGGCGTCACTAGCACCTGTTTTCTATGTAAAGTCTTGTCTCATTCCAAATATGTAAACATGATCATAGAACTTTAGGGGCCTATATACAGGCAGATGATAAACATAAGACAAATGTAGTAAATACATACTTAAATTTTCCTAAGAAAATTATCCAAGTAATAAGAGAGAGTTACAGAAATTCATACTGCTGACATTTGGAACAATTACTGTGATGTCTGTTTATAACTGTTAGGTAGGACCAGTCAAATAAAGTGACATTTTACAAAAATTCTGCCACAGAGAAAGTCTAATCATAACAGCTTTTTAAAATGCCATGATAGATTTATTCTGAAATATTATTTTTAAAGGAAGGAGATTTTCCTTTGTTCATTAATCTGAAACCTAATTACATAGAAAAAATCCTCAAAAGTCTATATTTTTAAATGTAGAAATTTTAATGTAGGTGGTAGTTTTTAAAAAAGAATTCTAGGAGCACTTGAGTGGCTCAGTGGTTGAGTGTCTGCCTTTGGCTCAGGTCATGATCCCAGGGTCCTGGTATCCCACAGGGAGCCTGCTTCTCCTTCTGCCTATGTCTCTGTGTCTCTCATGAATAAGTAAATAAAAAATCTTTAAAAAAAAACTCTAGAAGGCATAGAGATTTGCTGTAAATAATAAATAATATATCTGAATATCTTCTAATATCTAAAGTAATAAAATTCCAGATTAAAAGCTTCTGAAGGGGGCTGTTAGTAAACACATAATATAGAGAACAGCTTGGATCAGTATTGAAAAAGACCAAACTCAGTAGGGGAACTGAGTCAGCACCAGAAAGTCCTCCTTACTGGAACAAGAGGAGAGATGGTTTGGGCAGTAATAGAAAATTTAAAAGAGTAATCAAAGCTGATGAAAAGGTTTGAAGGCATCAATATATATTTAGTTGTGATGGAAGGTACGCTTTCAAGTGTGTGGGAAGTGTATTAGGTATTAGGTCTGTGATTTTAGAATGCTTTGTTCTTTTGTTGGAATCAATAGATAAGACAGTAGTGTTACAGTCAAACCACTTTTTTCTTTGCCTTCCATTCTGTAAAATGGAGCTAATAATAATAACACCCACTTGCCTCTTAACTTCCAAGATATCTGTGAAGATTTAAAAAACCTGTAATTAAATTAATTATATATTTATTATATATAATATATATAATATAATTGAAATTAAAACCTGTAAGGCTCTCTCCTGAAGAGCATTCCTGCAGGTACCTGGTATTATTACCCTAGGTTATTCTAGGCATTTCATACCTAACTTGACAGCTTAAATTTTATCAGGCATCAGTCCTACAGGATATTGTGTGCATTCTTGGCAGCTCATGGATGTGGACACACGCACGTACACACACACAGCTCCTTGTCCATTGAAAACTTGTAGGAAATTGCGGTTGTAATTTATTCTCTATCTCCAGGTGCTCAGGAAGGAGACAACTTTTTAAAACCTGGGAGAAATTGCTGTGTAGGAAGTGGCTTCACCAGAAGAGCTGAGTTAGCATGAAAGTTAATGGAGAAGATGCTAGCAAATGGTGGCACACCTCCTTTATTAAGGGACCATACAGGTCATATGTAAGAATTGAACAGTATAGGAAGTGTGCCATCTTTTCACACATTCAATCATATGACAAGTATTTCTCTAATGCTTACTATGTGCCAGTGCTTACTATGTTCCCTGTTGTGTCAGGGAACAAACCCAGACACAAGTCTCTGCCTTCATGGAGCTGATGATGTAATAAGGTACAGGGTTTTTTTACTTTTATTTTTTTAAAGATTTTTCTTAATTTATTCATGAGAGGCAGAGAGAGAGGCAGAGACACAGGCAGAGGGAGAAGCAGGCTCCCTGTGGGGAGCCCAATGTGGGACACCTTCCCAGGACCCTGGGATCATGCCCTGAGCCAAAGGAAGATGCCCAACCACTGAGCTACCCAGGCATTCCAGGTACAGGGTTTTGTAATTAGCAAATTCTTCACAGTTTACTTCTGACTTCAAAGGAGATTTCGTTGATTTTGTTGATCGCCATCTGCCTGTTCAAAAGTAAAACGATTCATATTTCTATATGACTGAAATTTGAAAACATTTCATTCCCAGTACCGTTCTTAAATGCATTACCTAAGAGTAACTCTTGATCTTCACAACAACATTATGAGTTAAATCTTCCTTGCTTCATGAGTAAAGGTTAAACTTAAGTGAGGAAGTGGGAGCAGAGAAGAGCTAAATAACCTGCTCAAAGTTGTGTAGCTCCAAGTGCAGAACTGGGATTTGAACCCAGGCCTAGCTTCAGTCTCCATGCGGTATCCAAGGGCCTTTGTGGTTCAGCCCCCACCGACCTGACCTCAACTCCACTTCTCCCTTCTCCTGTGGCGGCCTGTGCTGGTTCTTTACTGGGGCATGTCATGAGTGCTTTCTGGGCGCTGAACACAGTAAGAGGAATCAAATTTGGCTTTCTGTGCTAAGCACTTACACAGATTATCTCATTTCATCCTCCAATATGCCCTTTGAGGTTGGTTTATGATTATTTATCATTTTTATCCCCATTTCATAAAGGAGGATAACCTCTCTAGAGTAGAGAGGTTACATAGCCTCTCCAAGGTCATAGAGTGAGAAAGTCCTAGTGTTAGGATTTACATTATCAGTAAGACTTCGGGCAACAGTAGGCTATTAGTAATTAAGGTTTTGTGGAGGCAAAAGTTACAGATGATTTTTTATTAAGGTTGGCTCTCCCAACCCTCGTATTGTTCAAGGACCAAGTATATTTGTTAAATGAATGAAAGATTATATCCATATTTTAAACACTGAGGGTTTTTTTGTTTGTTTTTTTTTTGTTGTTGTTGTTTTAAAGATTTTATTTATTTATTCGTGAGAGACA